GCAAATACTGTGAGAACGGTAATTTTGGGTGCTTTTGTGCACTGCCCAGTCTGGCCCCTTTGCCATCGCTTGGGCCTCTGCCCTCTCATCTTCTGCCCAATTTGACAAGGTTTGTTATGCCCCACATGGCCTTTCCTTTCTGCTGCTTTGTCAGCTTCCAGCCCCACCACTTTTCTGCCTGTTCCTCTACCCATCTGCTTCTTAGAGGAGAACAGAGGAAGATAAAGGTCTGTGACTCCTGGGAGGAGCTCCTTTGGGTTAAGGATTCCTGCTTGGAAAGCAGTGTAAGCTTAATAAAACCACATAGTTGTTCAATTGTGGAAAACTTAGTGCTGCTTGAGAATAGTCTCCACATCTAGGATCAAAGGAAGAGGCTAGGAATACGTAGGGAAATCGGAGGATTGCCAGTGGAATTAAATGGGTGGTGGCTCATTCTTCTGCAATGCACACAAGATTGGTTGAAGGCACAGAGCTCAGTCTGGCATGTAAAGGAAAAGGCAGATCATGTTCCATGATATGTGATCTATACTTCTAAAGATGATGATCTAGGAATTGTCAAAACGTAATTCACTTCATTTTATTCCACTTGGCGATTCGTGCATACTTGTTCTCCCCCCTCAACCCCCACTAGTGGCACACCCGTTGCATGAGTTAATGGATAGTTTGACTTCCTCCCTTCACAGGGTGCATCCTCAGCTTATTAATCTCTACGGAGTGAACACTGATGACCTGGAGAGTTCCCAAGCAACATGCAATTGCATATAGAAGGGACAGACTGCAAGTTCTGTATTAAAGAATCCTTTTCTCACCTCTGTGCACAGCTCCCCAAGGTCCCAGGCTTTCACTCACTGAACTCAGTTGTTGTACCAGAAGCTTAAATGGGCTATTTGTAGTATTTCTGGTTTTAAATTTATCAAGCTATATATTTCTAACAGGTTCTAGTTAAGTGTAAAAAAATCTGCTAGGCTTAACAAGAAAACTAATTATATTGATCTGTTATAAATTTGGGGTTCAAGAAGTGCCCATCAGAATAGAAGCAATTTTTTTCTTTAAAATTATTCTAGCTTTTGCAATAAATATTAGAGGTAATTTTACGTTTGCTGCTGCTAACCGTGCTGTCCGGTAACTGAGCACAAACCGAGCTGTTGAGTGGAGATATGGTTATGGTACGACCTCCTGCTTGAAGAATGGTGGCAAAATATAGATTTTTTTTTTTTTCTTTTTTAATCAAGTCCTTCCCTTTCTAGGTATCATTTTTAATGTTGCCTTAATGTATTTGCTTTAACTAATTTCTAGTCAAACCGTATTGCAAACAAATATGCTGATGTCTTATATGGCTTTTTTTGGTTGAAATGTATTTTAAAGAGTACTCTTTGTAGAGATAAAATATTTTTAAGTATTTATTTTCACCTAGAACTGAAATTATATTCAGCATAGTTTTTGTTGTTGCTAAGAATAAAATTATGATAAATAACTTAGAGTTCTTAAGTTTTTGTAACTTCCTTATAAGGCATAAACATAATTTTTATGTGTTTGGGGTTTTGTTTGTTTGTAACTTACTAAATATTTAATGCAATTATTTGAGATGACAGCAAATTAAGACTATATTCTTGCTGGGAACTGGCTTTCTCTGATGAAAAGTAGCAGATGGACAAGTTTGTCTGTCAACAGGCCATGGGGAAAATTAATATTTTCCTGTTCCCGTATGTGAATCTTTCTGAAAACGGCTGACCAGTAACGGTATGAAAGCTGCACTGTCTCCTGGCTAGAAAGAGTTGCTTTAAGCTCTTTCTTCAGTGAGCAGTTGAGTATAAAATGAAACCTGGTCACTTGAGAGTTTGTTAAATCAAGGCCCTAAGCCTTTACGTGGGCTCTATGACTGCTATACTTAATTTTGTTCTAAATACTACTTATGGAAAAGTTATTACCTTGATAAATACAGAAGACAAAGTACTGCACCTGAAGAATTTTAGGAAAAACTTCTTCACTGAAAGGGTTGTCAGGCATTGGAACGGGTTGCCCAGGGAGGTGGTGGAGTCACCATCCCTGGAGGGATTTAAGGGGAGTACATGAGGTGCTTAGGGACATGGTTTAGTGGCGGGCTTGGGGGGGTTTGGGGTATGATTGGGT